ATCAAAATAATTATTCTTCAACTTAGTAGTAGTTGCTTATTGTAATTGTTGATTCAAATTATTCATTTATTTAATGATAACTTTTAATCTTAAGGAAATCACTTGTCAAAAATATTTCATTTATCTTTTTCTAAATTTATTAATTAATCTAAATTGTGCATTCAAACAAAGTTAATATTTATGATAAGGATATATTAAATTTAATAGATAATCTATTCCCTGTAAGAATTCTTGAAACAATTATTATAGGTTGTCAATATTTTGCTCACATTTAAAGGTAGAAAAAATAATTTCTATAAAAAGAGAACATGAAATTAAAAGATTTTATAACTTAACTAATTAATAATCCTTAAATATTTTTTATATCTTAATTAGCTATTTTCAAATTAAAATTAAGGGATTTTCATAGGATCTTGCTATAAATAATAACTTTCAGATATTTTAAAATAAAAATCTTAAAACTTAATTTTTATTCATAACTTCCCATAAATTTAAAAAGTAAATTTTTTGTAATAAGTTATTGAGAGAATTCAAGATAATAAATATATTTTATAAAATTTATTTATTATCTGTGCTATTAGGCCATTCCTTTATTTGGATTTGGTGCAAATCAATGATCTGATCTTATAATTAAATATTTTTGTTTTAAAATAATATCTGAGATAAATATCTGACATAAACATTGTATAATATTATTCTTTTAAATAAATATTTGTGATAAAAATTAATTTGTATTCAATTTAAATCATAGCCAATTTTTTAAAAAGATAAAATAAAAGAAGATAAAGAATTCTAGTTAGTTTAAAATAATTCTTCATTTTTAATTTTTAATTTCCTCAATTAGTTTTTCGAATTCAATCTGATCTGTTTAGCAATTCTGTATTGCTTTTTCATAAACTTTAATAGCTTCTAAATACTACTATTTAATATTTTATAAAATTGTCAAGGCAATAGTTTTTTAATAAACTAGTCTCTCCTATTTTCAAAGTCAATTAAAGAAGTTATTATTCTTAAATAAAAACAAATAACAATTACTTAAAGTGGATATAAACTAAAGAAAAATATTAAGAAACTCATAGTATTGTTTTGATTATTTGATAAAATTTGAACTCCATAATAATGGGATATGTTAAAGATTTATTATTAGAAAACTATAATTTAATTTTAATTAGTTAAAGAATACAATATCAATCAATTCGAACATTGAATATGCATTGCAGAATAAGTATTTTAAGTTATATTTTAATTATTTAACAATCAAATTAATGAAGATTAATACTTAATTGATTGAATATAAGGGATTTTTAAAATTCATCAAATAAATTTAAATTATGATGATACAAATTAAAGTATGGGTATTTTAAAAACACATACTAATAGGAGTTGCATTATAATTAGAGAAATTTCAGAATTTTATACATGAATAGGAACAGGTAGCCATCTTTTCTTCGAAATAAAATATGAGTATCATTATATTTTTAAAAAATATCTTATTTAATTTAATACATTTTAAAATTTTCATTTTTGATTCTCTCATTATTATTATTATGAAGCAAAGTGATCATCAAAATTTGGTTGTATGTTTAATCAATGAATAAAATTTTTAGAAATTTTCTTAAATGATAAACAATTTAAATTTTAGAATAGAATTGCTAAATTTCAAGGAAGCAAGGAAAAGAGATGATTTAGAAAGATTAATTTTTGTACATACTTTAATTTACTACTCTTGTAAATTTCATTAATTTTTCCTTAGATATTTCTAATTCATTATTAAACTATATTTAATTAGTATTAAAATCTTGTAAATAAGTATTTTTAATATTACAAAATTAATAAAAATTTTTTTAAAATTAAGTTTATAACAATGAGGATTTTTATTTTTTTTGTTTCATAATAAAATTTAACTATTTATAATACATCATTAATTAGCAAGAAAAGAAATTTTGCAAAAGATGTATAATATCTCTTATGTAAGTATTCTCAATTCATTTTAGATTGAAATCATTAAATTGAAGTTTATACATAAAAGTTGAATTTATATTCATCAAGCTAACTAAATTAAGCTAATCAGGATACCCTTCAAATGAAGATTATTAAGAGTAATGGTAATGAGTGATTTAGATAAGGATGATAACTAAATTAAGGATAATAACTCTGAAATATTATGGTAATTAATACCTGACTCATTACCTAACGAAATAAAACAAGAACTTTAATAATCTGTCATAACTTTGGCTTAATAAGATGCTGAATTAGCGAGACTTGAAGAATATGTTTCTAAAGTTAATTCAGATGATATCATTGCTTAATATTTTGGACTTAATCGATTTCGAAAATTATTGAGTTATACTAATTTAGCATAACCTATGGAATCATTGATTTAAATGGTTCTATCAACTAATGTTAAATAAAAAATATTTGTAATAGCAAAATGAATAATATCCCTTTGTTAAAATATGAGGCGCTTTGGATTATAAGTAATATTGTATATGGAACATAATAATAAATATAAATTATTTTAGATAATGATGGAATCAATATTCTATTTTTGGCGCTTGAATCTAAATATGATGAAATTATTGAATTAGGAGTATGGGCATTAGCTAATATTGCTGGAGATAATATTCAGTTTAGAGATATGCTACTTTAGAAAGGAATAGTATTTTACATAAAAAAGATATGGAATTAGTATAGAACATTAAAATTTGAACTCTTCAAAACTATAGTTTGGGCATTAAGCAATTTGGCTAAAGGAAAACCGACATCTAAATTCGTAAATTATTTATTTATGGTAATAGTGCACTCATGGTTTAATGTCGATTCTATCTGAAATTATAATTAGTACTGATAATGAAGAGTAATTAATAGAAGCTATTTGGGGTTTGAGTTATTTAACTCAAGATATATATGAAATTCATATGGAAATAGATATGAAAGTTATTTAAAAATTAACATTATTATAGATGTAAGATTCTTTTAATCATACTAAATTCGACAAAACATACTTTAATAATTCCAGCACTTAGGATTATAGGTAATATTTTAACTGGTAATGATGAGTAAACAAATCAAGTTTTATAAACCGGAGTCTTGTCTCTTTTGAGAAATTGCTTTAGCATATAAAAAAATCAGTACTAAGAGATGTAAACACTTCTTATCCCTTATTTAAATAAGCTAAAAAAAATAATTTAGAAATTACAAAATAAATAGCTTTTTTTATATCTAATTCTGCTATTTATGCAGAATTAACAGATTTAGAATATCTTATTGCTAATTATGGATTTATTTAAGAACTCTCAATGTTATTAGATAAAAAGGATGAAAATATTATTCAAGTAACTTT